GGGTCAGGGTCAGGATCCTAGCTAGAGCTAGGAGATAGAATTAAGGTTACAGTTAAAGTCAAGGTCAGAATTAAGGCTAGAGCTAGCACCTATAGGCTTGGATTAGGATTAGGGTAGGGGGCTGGGTGCTAGGCTTAAGGTCAGAGCTAAGGTTAAGGTCATTGTTAGGGCTAGGGGCTAGGGTCAAGGTCATTGTTAGGGCTAGGATTAGGGACCTATGATTGATCATAGGTGCTGAGGCTATATGTATATCTCATAGGTGGACACCAAGGCCCCAGATAGGGTCACCAGAACCTTGCATGTGGGATTCATTGTGTGACAGATGTGTGATTCTGGGTGTCCAGCCTGCCCAGGGTTCCTGTGTGTCTCTACAGGGACATCATGGAGGCCTCTCGGGGATGGCTGGTGGCCTGCATGCTGGCCATGACCCTGGTAGCCCACATTGACTGAGGATGTCTGCCGAGCACCCAATGGGAAGGATGGAGTTGCAGGGAATCCTGGCCGCCCAGGGAGGCCAGGTCTCAAAGGAGAGAGAGGGGAACAAGGTAAGCATTCTCTCCAGGGGCCCTGGTCCTGTCATCCTCAAAGCAGTAGCTTGAGATGGCCCTGAGAAGCAATGGTGCATCTGAGTCCAGGAAGCCAATGCAATGTGCAGCTCACCCTGGAACCTGAGAGCCTAGCCTTCTCTGGGACCCCCGGCCTCAGGCTTCTCTGGAACCCTTTCCAGTTCTTCCATACCCCACCCCACCCCAAAAACCAAGCTAGGTAGTTATAGTCCACTCTGTCCTGTCAGAACACATCACCCTGAGGGGGATGGGAAGGGAGGAGGTGATGATCAGAGCCCAGAACAGGAAGGAAAGCCCCTGTCATTCTCAGTCTCCACAGGCCAAAAGGACCCTCACCAACACTGACACAATTTGCACACGCACCCGCGTGAGCACACACACACACACACACACACACACACACACACACACACACACACCATCCCCCATTAAGGTTCCAAAACTGAGAAAGGAGTTGGTGATCTGGAGGCACGTGAGGTGACAGCCAGAGTGCCCACATTTCCTAGAATTCAGGGTCTGTCACATGACTGCCTTTGCTTCACTCCATTTTGTGGATGAAGCAGAGGCTTAGAGAGGCTGGCATGCTTGCCCAGCGCCACACAGCCAGTCAGCCCAGTCAGACTCTTTAAAGCAAAGGCTTTTTCTGTGAGGCCTGGCAGGCTCTAGACCCCATAACCCACGATGCCCCTCATCCATCAATATGCTCTTTCCACCAGGAGCTGCTGGCATCCGGACCGGAATCCGAGGCCCTAAAGGAGACCCGGGGGAATCTGGGCCCCCTGGCAAACCTGGCAATATGGGGTTCCCAGGGCCCAATGGGCCCCTGGGGAGCAGCGGCCCCCCAGGACCAAAGGGTATCAAAGGCAATCCAGGCAATATCAGGGACCAGCCCCGGCCAGCTTTCTCAGCCATTCGGCAGAACTCACTGACGGCTGGCAATGTGGTTATCTTCGACAAGGTCATCACCAACGAGGAGGGTCCATACCAGAACAACACGGGCCGCTTCATCTGTGCGGTGCCCGGTTACTATTACTTCACCTTCCAAGTGATCTCCAAGTGGGACATCTGTCTGTCTATCAAGTCCTCCTCCTCCCGGGGCCAGCCCAGGAGTTCCCTGGGTTTCTGTGATGCCAACAGCAAGGGGCTCTTCCAGGTGGTATCAGGGGGCACTGTGCTCCAGCTGCAACGAGGGGACCAAGTATGGATCGAGAGGGACCCTGCAAAGGGTCGCATTTACCAAGGTCCCGAAGTCGACAGCATCTTCAGCGGATTTCTCATTTTCCCCTCTGCCTGAGCTGGGAGCCACCCCACGCCCTGCCATCTTCTCTCCCTGTGGTGGCGCCCTGCCCTGCACCCCTTCTCTCTGCCAAGTGAAGGAGCCAGATAGAGCTGGGGCTTTAGCAGCCTGGGGTGGGGGCGGGGACGGGGGAGGGAGGGGCTGGCTTGGAGGGCCCTGAGGACTGGTGCGTCTCTGCACACAGCCCAGGGGTTTCTTCAAGCACTTTCTGGAATAAATGACCCCATCTGTGTCTGTGGCTGGAGGTGTAGTGGTGGTTGTTCTGGGCACTGGGCAGGAAGGAGGCCTAAAACTGGCCATCCCTGACAGCTGGAGAGGTGGCAGTGTTAGCATTGTATACAAATGCTGGCAAGGGGCGGGGGTGGGGGGGGTGGGGGGTGGGGGGGTGGGGGGGGGTGGGGGTGGAGGACTGGGGGTGGCGGGAGGCGGGGGGGGGGGGGGGGGAGGGGACATCAGCCTGGCTCCAATCTAAATGTCATCCTGAGTGGCCTCAGTTTCCAAACCTGCTAAGTGGTGCTAGTAATGGGCACGCCATCGGGGGAGGGACTGCCGCAGACCAGTGTGTGAACACTGAGGGCAGGGCCTGTCGCTGTTCTGTCTCGTTCAGTCTTGCTAACCGCATCTCCAAGATGACGGCATCTGAGACTAGAGCAGGGGTCATCAAGGCCCAGGTCATCACCTCAGGGGAGGAGCTGGGGTTAAAATCAGGCTGGCTGACCAACACCTCCCCAGTCTTCCCAGCTATACTGGGCAAATCACACTGGTGCTTCTGCAGCCTAGCCCAGAGAGGGCAAGTGAATGGCTCACAGACACCCAGCAGTCTTTCCCAGAGCTGGTTTTCCTGAGTGGTTTCCAGGCAGACATGGAGACTGGGTTGCTGTCAGCTGACTGCTTGGCAGCCTTCAGGGGGTGGGGGGATGGGGGGATTAGGATCCTGGATGCTCAGGTGTGTTCCCACAATCACACAGTCTCATACACAATTACACATGGAGGCTCACACACACAGTTTCACAGCAATCACACATACACGGTCTCCTGCTTACACATGTACTACCCTTGAGACTCACAATGTCCCACGTTCCTGGGCTGAGATTCACCCACTCCTCACCAAAACATGAACTTAGGGACTTCCTCCTCGAACACTATGTACACCCTTAGTTACTAGTTACTTCTCTAAGCACAAACACAGGCACACACGCACATGCACAACTGCACACTTACGATGAATGTACATATCCCCACATGCACCGGGAATAAGAAAGCTTGTGTTTTCTACCAACCCCGCACCCCACATGCTCACACTTCAGATGAAGTGTGCATCTGACTGTGCTTCAGGTGCACCTGGTCTCAGAGTTGTCCCTCATGCAGCCTGCATGTCCCTTTCCACATGCATAATTATGCCCTGTCCCTGCAGCCAAGAGCCTCTGAGGTCGGGAAGAAGTGGGACACTCCAGGGAGAGTGGGCCTCCTCAGCTCCAGGCCACCACCCGACCCTCAGAGCTCCTTGGCTTTTTCTCTGTCCACTCTGCCCCCAGTTCTCCCTGACCCCTGAACGTGTGCCTCCACAGACTGGGAAAGACACTGACTTTGGGGACCCCGTGTGCTGTCCACAGCCACAGAGTGCAAAACAGTTGTGGACACTGTGGCTCCATGAAAGGAGGCATGCCTCAAGCCTCCCTGCTGGAAGATGGATCTACACCTAAGCCAGGCTGTCTAGCCCCAAAGTGGAGGGCTCCCATCACTTTGTGGGGTACTGAGAGGAGGGGGATGTCTGAACCAGAGGTGGAGAGTGTTGAACCCCTCCTGAACCCACATTCCAGCCAGCCTCACCCCTTCACCTGCAAATCTCAGTTCCTCTGAGCCTGGAAGCTGAGCCAGGCAGAGAAATGGGCGGGTAGAGAGGACTGAGCACAGACCGAGACTGCCACCTGCTGGAAGAGTTAGGCATGGCACAGAGGTGACCAAGAGGAGAGCAGATTCCACTACTGCCATCCCATAATGCAGAGAGCCCATTACGCCTTCTCCCCCAAGCCCTGGGATGCTAGTGCATTCTCACGCTGGCCTCATGGCATATCCTGGGCTGTAAGTGGAGGGAGTATCAGGATGACTGGGAAAACAAAACCTTGAAGGCTCCTTAGCTAGGCAGCCTGAACTGCTAGCATGGCCTAGGGTGTAGCAGAAGCATGGTACAGGATCCTCCCCATGCCTTACGCAGGACCCCACCCAAGTCCAGGTAATAAGAAGGTCAAGGTTGAGCTGCTCTGCTTCCCCAAACTTCCTTTCATCCTAAAAAATCCCTCTTGAGGAAAGAGACAGGGAGATGCCTGGCCTGACCACCACAAGCCCTAGGACCAGAGACAAGGTGGGGGCCAGGATGATGGGGTGGGGAAGCCCATCAAGGCGGTGGGGGCCCAGAAAAGAAAGAGATAGTGCCAATCATGTCCTGGCACCCCACAGAGCAGCAATTGTATCTACTGGTTAGGGAGTCACCAGCAAGGAAAACCCGAGGCTCTGGCTCTCTAAGCCAGACCAGCTGATGCATGGAGGCAAAGTGAGCTTGCCCTGGCATCCTTCCCTGAGCCTGACAATGGAAGGGGCCTGTGGATGTTTCTAGAATAAGACCACCACTTGACGCCTGCATGTGAGGCTTGGTTCTGGGGAGCTGATGAACACAGGGGTCACCCTGACCACCATTGAGTGTGACACTTAGAGCAAGCCTCAGTCTCCTCTCCTGGAAGAGGGACTGTAACTTCCCCTCAGGGAGATGGAAGGACTTTGAGCCTCAGGCATGGTGAACGCCATAGTGGGGCTACAAATTAGATGGCCACCCTGCCCCTGGGAACAGTTGTGCCTTGGGCTCAGGTCTATGCACACAGATGTGCAACACACACACACACACACACACACACACACACACACACACACACACACACACACACACACACACCCCCTGATGTTCCCAGGATGAAGGGACAGCAGACACTTCCTCATTTCATCACACATGACCTAGGGCCAGGGAAGGAAGCGGGATAGAGATGTCATCGTGGTCAGCCTGGCTCAGAACAGAAAAGAAAGTGTCAAGTCAGGAAAAAATGACTGGAAAGAGGATGTGGGATTAGGGTGATGTGGGGGAGGGGCACCAGAGCCTGTTCTGGGCAGTTCTTCTCTGTCCATTCTGACACAGTGTCCTCCTGTCGGGGAGAACAGGACATCTCTTTGATTAGACCTGAAGTCCCCTACACCCTCAGGTGAGGCTGGGACCCTGCCCCGGTGGGAATGGACACAGTTTCCCCCTGGGTCCATTCCTGAACCATAGGAAGCCTGGGCCTGGGCTTTAGAAGAGACCCGACTACCCTTCCGTCCATCATCCATCCAACCATCATCTGTGGATGGAGGTGGGCTCCCCAGGGTGAAGGGCTATGGAAAGGGGCAGGGCAATGTGGGGAAGAAAGGCAAGTGGGGGGCTCAGTACCAGCTCCCCCCTCTCTCCACAGCCCCTCCTCAGGATGGAGGTAGGGCCCAGCTGCCAGCCCCAACGTGGACTCTACCTGCTGCTGCTTCTGCTGGCTCTGCCACTCAGGAGCCAGGCCAGCACCAGCTGCTATGGGATCCCAGGGATGCCAGGCCTGCCGGGGGCCCCTGGGAAGGATGGGCATGATGGAATCCCAGGGCCCAAGGGTGAGCCAGGTGAGTCTGCCGGCCTCTCTTTTGGCAGGCTTAGTTCCTTAGAGTCCCAGGCTTCAGCCTCCAGCTGACTCTGGCGACCTTGTAGCTTGTTGCCCTCATCCTGCGGAAGGGAGTTAAGGAGAGCCCCTGTCCCTGCAGGCAGGTAAACAGCCTTCTAACTATGCAGGTGGACACTTAGGGAAGGTGGTCCACCCTGGCTGCTTCAGGTGCACTGACTGTAGGGTCAAAGTCACACCCCCCAGCTCCCTCCACGCCAGCTTGCACGAGTGTCTTAACTGCGCCGTGCCTCAGTTTCCACATTTGTGAAACAGGGGCTGGGAGTCTTTGCTTCTCAGGGTGTCTCAGCTTTGAATGAGTTTGCATTTGTGGCAAAATGAAGCGCCCGGCAGATTTGATGGTCTCTGTCAATCAAGATGCAAGGGGCAGGTGGTCAGGACTTCACCCAGAATGTTCGGATGGGTGCCCTGGTGTGAGGGAAGGGCCAGGGAAAGGAGTGGGCAGCTAGAGTTAGGTAGGAGTGGAGGGCAGGTGTGGTGACCCCTTCCCCAAGTGAGCATGCTTCCCTGGGACATCAGTGGTATGTGGGCATGAGGAAGGCTGGGTGGGACTGAACAGAATTCATGAGAACAGAGGAATGTGGCCGGGGCGGGGAGGTGGGTTAATGGAAAGTGTCCTTAAGAATGTCCATACTGCCCTCTTCCCTCTAAACCACAGAATGGAATCTTGCAACTCTGGAAGGAATTACTCACTTCAGAGGAGCCAGTGAAGCCCCCTAAGGCTGCACTTCAGGGAACCCTGTACATAGGCTGGTCAAGGCTCAGCTCCGGTGTACTCTGAGCACTCTTTGAGTTCACCTCCCAGAGCAGATAACCATCTCAGGCATGCTTACAAATGGGGAAACCGAGGCCCAAATCCTTTAGAGGCATGATTTGCTTCTACTTTGCAAATGTTAAAACTGGGGTCCAGAGAGATCAAGCAACAGGCTCCGAGTCACCTAAGAGACCCTTGTTCCCCTGTCCTTCACTGCCACTCGGGCCCTCTCCTGCTCTTCCATCACAGATCTGGAAAGTGAGACAGGGATGGACCAAGTGTGGGACTAAAGCAGAGACCCCCCATACACACCCTGCCCCTTCCCCCTGGCCAGAGCCACCTGGGAAGTCCAGGTCACTGCCAGACCGACTTGGGATCCCCCTTCCTGTCCCCTACCCTATCACTTTCTTCCTGTCTGCTGTCTCTCCAGGAATCCCAGCCATCCCTGGGACACGAGGACCCAAGGGTCAGAAGGGCGAACCTGGCATGCCTGGCCATCGTGGGAAAAATGGCCCCATGGGGACCTTCGGGCTTCCAGGGGATCCAGGCCCCAGGGGACCTCCCGGGGAGCCAGGTGAGGAGGGCCGATACAAACAGAAACACCAGTCAGTGTTCACAGTCACCCGGCAGACTGCCCAGTACCCAGCGGCCAATGGCCTGGTCAAGTTCAACTCTGCCATCACCAACCCTCAGGGGGACTATGACACTAGCACGGGCAAGTTCACCTGCAAAGTGCCTGGCCTGTACTACTTCGTCCACCACACATCACAGACGGCCAACCTATGCGTGCAGCTGTTCCACAACGGTGTCAAGGTGACCAGCTTCTGCGACCACATGTCCAATAACAAGCAGGTCAGCTCAGGAGGAGTGCTCCTGCGGCTTCAGAAGGGCGATGAGGTGTGGCTGGCCGTCAACGACTACAATGGCATGGTGGGCACTGAGGGCTCTGACAGCGTCTTCTCAGGCTTCCTGCTGTTTCCTGACTAGAGTGGCAAGCTGGCTCCAGCCCCCATCCCCCCACCCCCTCCCTCTGCTTCTTCCATCTTCATTCAGACCCTTCTACACCGCTGACCTCTTCCTCCAGGAAGTCTGCCTGGCTCCTGATGCATCAGCCGGCTGACTCCTCTGAGCTTCTCCAGGAACCACCTACTGGTACCATTCCTGTGGCAGTTTACCAATACCTTGAGACTGTTTGTTTGTTTTTCAGATGGGGAGATACATAAATAAATAGATCACTAAATATGCATGACCCAGATTTCTTACTGCAAGGCTTTGAACTTGGCTTGTAGAGTTTTGCATCTGTGAGTTCGTGCTAAGGGAAGGGATGATTTGGGGTGAATTAATGAATGCTGAAACGAGCAAGTTAATGAATAAAAACAGAACAAATGAATGAACCAATATAAATCCACAATAACTAGCATGCAAGTCCTTCTTATGAATCCAGGTGCTTAATATTCACTCTCATGTTCTGAGATGAACATGGATACAGGGATAATAGAGAGACACACACCCCTGATGGCTGACACACAGATTCTAGGAACCCCAGTCTAAAAAGTAGCTGCCCTTAAGCTGCCAAGTTTGGGCTATGAAATTCCTGATGGCAGGGATTGGCCACCACAATCTTCAGAGGACCAGGGAGGTCCATGGGGGCACCTGAGTTCAGAAAAATGCAAAGTGCAATTGTCAGGCTAGAGGAAATGGCTCAGTGGTTAACAGCACTTGCTGTTCGTGAGAGGATCGGAGTTCCGTTCCCAACATTTCCATCAGGCAATTCATGATTGCCTTGGACTCCAGGGGACAAGGTGTCCTCTTCTGGACTCCACAGGCACCTGTACTCATAATGTACATACCCCCTCCCCCAAAAGCACACATTTAAAAATGAAGCTAAAAAAAAATCAGAGTGCAACTGTCCGGGGCAGAGAGGTATGAGGGAGGTACCCCGCTCCCAGTCTCAGAGAACCAGATCCAACCCGCTGGTATTTCAGCCTGTTACATGTGGCTCATGAGGATGCTGCTTAGCCTACATCCTTGGCACCAATAATAAATAAATAAACAAATAAACAAACAAACAAACAAATAAATAAATAATCAATCCTCAGCTCAGGTGAACGAGTGTTCTGAGCCTAGTTTGGCCCTTTCATCCCGCAAGGGGTCACATCACACATTCATGCTTCACCGTGGCTGTCCCTTCACTCTATAGAAACTATCCACACACCTTTGGGCAATGTCCTTCAATCAAGATCACCTCCTCCACGAAGCCTGCCCTGACTCCCTTATGAATCCCCCCAACACCTTTCATAGACTTGGACCCCAAGCTTAGGTTTTTTAGAGCCCAGTTTCCCAAGTCTGGTTGTCTATAAAATCAACCTAAAGACATTTTAAACAGAACTAGAGTTTTGTTTCGTGGCAGCAGTGGGTGGGCTACAGGTGAATCTGGTGCACATGGTCCCAGGGCCCATGAATCAGCTTTTGTTACTTACCTCTTCACGGTTCGGTGTTCCCCACAGGACTATGTGGGATCCTGTGATGCCCACCTGGCACGCAGTAGAGGTTCATGAAATGGGTAAGATGGCACAGAGGGAAATAAAGATGCATTCATACATGCATGCAAGAAAACACACACACACACACACAGCAGAAGGCCAGGGCTAGGAATCCCACCAGCTCACTGCATCTGGGCACTCAGCAGGGCCAGACTGGGTCACTGGCCACAGCATCCCCAGCTGTCCCTCCATCAACCACTTAGCAGTTCACCCAGCGATGCCCCGTGCGATAAATCTTTCTTCTCATTTTTCCTTTGGTTAAAAAAAATCAATGTGGTGCTTATGTCAACCATGTGCCTGTGTCTGGGAAATGAGATTTGTCACACACACACACACACACACACACACACACACACACACACACCCATTCCTCCATAATTGTTTCCTTGTCCTTGCTACAACATGATGAGCAGACCTTAGAGTGTGCTCATCGCCTACTGGCCATGTGGAGGAGGTGGGTACTGAGAGCTGGGACAAGGTAGGAAACAGAAGGAGACCCTGTTGCAAGGGACTTCTTTGGGCAGCTGGGGTTTCTCTCACTTTTCTCCACATTTAGTTATCACCGTTCTGTCAGGAAGTGAAGGAAGAGATACCACTTCTCACTTAGGGACCAAGGCTCAGGGGCCCCTCAGCTCCCAATCCCCAGGGATAGACCCTGCCAGGGACTCAGGCTCAGATTTAGACCCCACCCGCTCCAAGCTTGGCTGCTCTTCATACAGATAATACTGTGCCTGAGGCCACTTTGGCCCTGAACTTTGAAGATTCCTTCTCTGTCTCACCAACAGCCCGGGGATACAGGCTCCCCCATCTCTGATGTAGACCTGAAGGAACCCCAGTCAGTAATGCGCTCAAACCCACATGACTGGAGAGGTAGCGTTCAAACTTGAGATGACCGTCCCCAATCCCCCATTGCACCTGCTTCCTGCTCTTCACCCTGCTCCTTCTCCAGGTTCAAGTTCAGGCTGAACTTCTACTGGCACTTACTCAGGAATCAGGGATGCATCCTAGATGGCCATGAGACCCTCAGGAGGACCCGAGGCTGAGTGTCATGATGCACACCTGTAATCCCAGTACTTGGGAGGCAGAGGCAGAAGAACTTTGAGTCTGGGGCTAACCTAGGCTACATAGTGAGATTCTCTGAGAACTGGATGGATAAGAAAGAGGGTCCCCGAACACGTAGCCCTCAGCTCTCTCTTCTCTTGTGAACCTAGCTGAGCCTAGAGATCTGGTGTCGTCATATTTACCTCCTCTTTTCCTCTGTTCCTGTAGTCAATGCCTCCATCCATAGGTAACGGCATGAGCCGAAGACTGATCCCTCTCCAAGCTTCCAGTGGAGCTCAGTGCCTGTACCCCCTGGGTACCTACCCTGGAGTGATATGGTACCTGGCCATAGATACAGCTGCAGCAGCATAGCTAGACCCTGGCCCCAGAGCTCTCTGGCTTCAGGCCCTGCCCTGGGGGTATGGGTTCTAAGATTCCCTGATTTTCTGTGGCATTTACCACAGAAACAGTCAATGTCCAGCCGCAGCCTCCCCTAAAGGGACTCACAGTACCTGGCAAAAAAAAAAAAGCCTGTTGACTCATGCCTTTGAGCCTCAGTTTCCCTGCAAAGAGGGACAGGGTGGACACAGTAGCCTCCAAGCCCCTCTGCGGTTCTCACTTGGTGTCATTTTTAGATCCCTAGGCAGCAGTCCCCTGCCTGTGGCTATCATTGTCAAGGGCTCCGAGCCCTGTTGGGAGTGGAAGGAGGGGAATGAATAAGTAATGAATACATTTAAAATTCATTATTGGATTATTTTCTGGAGACAGAGAAGAGAGCAGAGGTGGAGAGAGGGAGGCAGAAGAAGAGATAAGGCCAGAAAGGGGAAGCCTAGGACATGAAGTGACATTCACAATTCACGAGTTGAGTTTGCTCTGTCCCCTTATTCAATCCCGCCTCTATCCTCCTGGAGGCCTGGGAGAGCCAGAGTGTATATAGCCATGGCTCCATCATTTAGTGGGGGAAAACTAGGGGTCCCCTGGGTTCTCTGTATTGAGGGCATTTTGCTGGCAAGTGGCAGAACTGTGGTAGGAATCCGGGTCTCCGGCTGTGAAGCCAGTTCACAGACCTTAGATGGGCCTCTCTGCATCCATGGAGGAACCCTAGTCCCTGTGGAAATCATCATGTGCTCACAAAGCCCTGGCAGGCAAGCAGCCAGCTGGGGACAATCCCCAAGGACAGGCTATCCCCCTTGACGCCTACCCACCCGGGTGCTGAGTCGACGAAACCGTGCTGGCCACAGCCATCGTTTACAGTAATTCCCTCCCCAGGGTCAGAAATGGGACCTGAAACTGCCTGAGGGCAGCAGGATGGGGGAACAGAAGGATGAGAGAGAGGGGGTCAGTGTGTTGGGCCTTGGGAGAGGACAACAAGGGAGGGCCCTTCCTGCCTCTAGGGACCCATACTTCCGCTTTCTGTGGACAGGAGCAGGCTCTGGGCTCTGAGAACGCACTGCTGTGCTGTCTGGCCTGGAGTGTCACAGGACATCAGGACTCTGTATTCAGGTGAGCACTCCAGGGTGGGGCAGGGGGAGACGGATTAACTCACCAGTACAGCCCTTGCTTCCAGCTATGAACGTCGGAATTATTAACTGGGCTGAATTCTCAGAGCCCAAACCCAGATCCACAGCACAGAATCTCTGGGGTGAACTAGGGGTGGAGGTATCTGTGGCTACCTCAGCACAGGGGATGGGTAGGCAGCCTGTAACAGGAGCACCTAGGATCCTGGTCTCAGGAACCATGGAGACTTAGAGCAAATACCACTTCTGTCTCTTGCATGCTGGTCACTCGCAGTCAGTCTCACAACCTCTCTGGTCCCAAAAACCCCTTCTGGGGAGAACAGAGCCTTTTGTGGGTGCAGTAAGCAGAGACCAAGCTTGATTCTGTCAGCGAGGCAGAGGCAGAGGCAGGATAAGAACCCAGGCCTCTTCTGTCCACTATCACATGTCCTCAGCACCTGGAGCTGGAGGTCATTGTTGGTTAGTTCTGAGTGACAAAATCGTATCTGCGAAGGACACATGCTGCCCAAGGGACCTTAATCTCCCCTGTGCCATCTCATTTAATACCACTGACAGCCCTGGAAGCCAGAAATGAACCGCGTCAGAGAGACCAGAGAAGTTAAACACTTGTCTGAGGTCACACAGCCAGGGAGCGGCAGATGGGAGTTCAAAGTTAGGTTGGTCTGGCTCCATGCTAGAGTAGAAAAAGATGAGGGGCTGTGATGATGGGCAGGCAGAAGAGGACGGTGGTCCAACCAAGAGGATTTGAAGGCCTCCCCATGTCTGAGACTTGAGACTCCCAATACAGACTAGAGTTCAGCGTTGCCCCCATCTCATAGACCAGTAAACTGAGCCCAGAGAGAAGTCCTGTCATGGTCCTGCCCCTGAACAGCTCACTAGGTGATACTGGGAGGTATTTTCAAATGGTTGAGCCTCTATTTCCTCATCTGTGAGATAGGCAGTTATCACAACCTACCTCTCAGATGTTGTGAGGATCCAGAAGCGGGAGCCGCAGATCCTGGGAGAACTCAGGGTTTCTTCTTCTCACCAGGGCTCCATACCAACATGAGAGAAAGGCAGGGCACCCTTTGTCCTGTGCACTGGGGGTTAGCCTGGGAGGGCTCCCTGGAGGAAAAGCCTTGACCAAAGGCTTGCAGAGTGT